TTGGAACAGAAGGCAAGCTCCTGGACCAGGCAAGCTCCTTGACCAGGCAAGCTCCTGGACCAGGATAGCTCCTGGACCAGGCAAGCTCCTGGACCAGGCACGCTCCTGGACCATGCAAGCTCCTAGACCAGGCAAGCTCCTGGCCTAGGCAAGCTTCTGGACCAGGCAAACTCGTGGACTAGGCAAGCTCTTCGACCAGGCAAGCTCTTGGACCACGCAAGCTCTTGGACCAGGCAAGCTCTTGGACCAAGAAAGCTCCTCGACCAGGAACGCTCCTGGACCAGGCAAGCTCCTAGACCAGGCAAGCTCCTAGACCAGGCAAGCTGCTGGACTAGGCAAGCTCCTAGACCAGGCAAGCTCCTGGACCAGGCAAGCTCTTGGACCAAGCAAGCTCCTAGTCCAGGCAAGCTCCTTGACCAGGCAAGCTCCTGGACAACACAAGCTCCTGGACCACGCAAGCTCTTGGACCAGGCACGCTCATGGACGAGGCAAGCTCTTGGACTAGGCAGGCTTCTGGACCAAGCAAGCTCTTGGCACAGGAACGCTCCTGGACCAGGCAAGCTTGTGGACCAGGCAAACTCGTGGACCAGGAACGCTCCTGGACCAGGCAAGCTCCTAGACCAGGCAAGCTCCTAGACCAGGCAAGCTGCTGGACTAGGCAAGCTCCTGGACCAGGCAAGCTCCTGGACCAGGCAAGCTCTTGGACCAGGCAAGCTCCTAGACCAAGCAAGCTCCTTGACCAGGCAAGCTCCTGGACCACGCAAGCTCCTGGACCACGCAAGCTCTTGGACCAGGCACGCTCCTGGACCAGGCAAGCTCTTGGACCAGGCAGGCTTCTGGACCAGGCAAACTCGTGGACCAGGAACGCTCCTGGACCAGGCAAGCTCCTAGACCAGGCAAGCTCCTAGACCAGGCAAGCTGCTGGACTAGGCAAGCTCCTGGACCAGGCAAGCTCCTAGACCAGGCAAGCTCTTGGACCAGGCAAGCTCCTGGACCAGGCAAGCTCCTTGACCAGGCAAGCTCCTGGACCAAGCAAGCTCCTGGACCACGCAAGCTCTTGGACCAGGCAAGCTCCTGGACCAGGCAAGCTCCTGGACCAGGCAAGCTAATGGACCATGAAAGCTCGTGGACAAGGCAAGCTCCTGGACCAGGCACGCTCATGGAACAGGCAAGCTCCTGGACCAGGCAAGCTACTGGACCAGGCAAACTCGTGGACCAGGAACGCGCTTGGACCAAGCAAGCTCCTAGACAAGGCAAGCTCCTAGACCAGGCAAGCTGCTGGACTAGGCAAGCTCCTGGTCCAGGCAAGCTTCTGGACCAGGCAAGCTCTTGGACGAGGCAAGCTCCTGGACCAGGCAAGCTCCTTGACCAGGCAAGCTCCTGGACCACGCAAGCTCCTGGACCACGCAAGCTCTTGGACCAGGCACACTCCTGTACCAGGCAAGCTCTTGGACCAGGCAGGCTTCTGGACCAAGCAAGCTCTTGGAACAGAAGGCAAGCTCCTGGACCAGGCAAGCTCCTTGACCAGGCAAGCTCCTGGACCAGGATAGCTCCTGGACCAGGCAAGCTCCTGGACCAGGCACGCTCCTGGACCATGCAAGCTCTTAGACCAGGCAAGCTTCTGGACCAGGCAAGCTTCCGGACCAGGCACGCTCTTGGACTAGGCAAGCTCCTAGACTAGGCAAGCTCCTAGACTAGGCAAGCTCCTGGACCAGGCAAGCTCCTAGACCACACAAGCTCTTGGACCAGACAAGCTCTTGGACAAGGCAAGCTCCTGGACCAGGCAAGCTCCTGGACCAGGCAAGCTCCTCGACCACGCAAGCTCCTGGACCAGGCAAGCTCTTAACCCAGACACGCTCCTGGACCAGGCAAGCTCTTGGACCAAGCAGGCTTCTGGACCAAGCAAGCTCTTGGACCAGGCAAGCTCTTGGACCATGAAAGCTCCTGGACCAGGCAAGCTCTTGGACCAGGCACGCTCCTGGACCAGGCAAGCTCATGGACCAGGCAAGCTCGTGGATCACGCACGCTCCTGGACCAGGCAAGCTGCTGGACCAGGCAAGCTCTTGGACTAGGCAAGCTCTTGGACCACGAAAGCTCCTAGACCAGGCAAGCTCCTGGACCAGGCAAGCTAACGGACCAGGAAAGCTCCTGGACAAGGCAAGCTCCTGGACCAGGCACGCTCGTGGAACAAGCAAGCTCCTGGACCACGCAAGCTTCTGGACCAGGCAAACTCGTGGACTAGGAACGCTCCTGGACCAAGCAAGCTCCTAGACCAGGCAAGCTCCTAGACCAGGCAAGCTGCTGGACCAGGCAAACTCCTAGACCAATCTCCACGAGCTTGCCTTGTCCAGGAGCTTTCATGGTCCGTTAGCTTGACTGGTCCAGGAGCTTGCCCGGTCCAGGAGCTTGTCTGGTCCAAGAGCTTGCGTGGTCGAGGAGCTTGCCTAGTCTAGGAGCTTGCCTGGTCCAGGAGCGTGCGTGGTACAGGAGCTTGCCAAGTCCAGGAGCTTGCAATGTCCAGGAGCTTGCCTGGTCCAGGAGCTTGCCTCGTCTAGGAACTTGCCTGGTCCAGGAGCGTGCCCGGTCCACGAGCTTGCTTGGTCCAGGAGCTTCCTTGGACCGGGAGTTTGCCTGGTCCAAGATATTGCCTGGTCCGAGAGCTTGCCTTGTCCAGAAGCTTGCGTGGTCCAGGAGCTTGCCAGGTCCAGGAGCTTGCTTGGTCTAGATGCCTGCCTGGTCCAAGAGCTTGCGTCGTCCAGGAGCTTGCCTGGTCCAGGAGCTTGCTTGGTCCAGAAGCGTGCCTGGTCCAAGAGCTTGCCTGGTCCAGGAGCGTGCCTGGTCCAAGAGCTTGCATGGTCTAGGAGCTTGCCTCGTCCAGGAGCTTGCCTGGTCAAGGAGCGTGCTTGGTCCATGAGGTTGCCTGTTCCAGGAGCGTGCCTAGGCTAGGAGCGTGCCTGGTCCACGAGCGTGCCTGGTCCAGGAGCTTGCGTGGTCCAAGAGCTTGCCTGGTCCAAGAGCGTGCCTGGTCCAAGAGCTTGCCTGGTCCAGGAGTGTGCCTGGTCCACGAGTGTGCCTGGTCCAGGAGCTTGCTTGGTCCAGGATCTTGCCTGGTCCAAGAGCCTGCCTGGTCCACGAGCTTGCCTGGTCCAGGAGCTTGCGTGGTCCAGGAGCTTGCTTGGTCCAGAAGCCTGCCTGGTCCAAGAGCTTGCCTGGTCCACGAGCTTGCCTGGTCAAGGAGCTTGCCTGGTCTAGCAGCTTGCCTGGTCCAGGAGCTTGCGTGTTCCACGAGCTTGCCCGGTCTAAGAGCTTGCGTGGTTTAGGAGCTTGCCTGGTCCAAGAGCTTGCCTGGTCCAGGAGCGTGCCCGGTCCATGAGCTTGCCTGGTCCAGGAGATTGCCTGGTCCAGGATCTTGCCTGGTCTAGGAGCTTGCTTGGTCCAATAGCGTGCCTGGTCAACGAGCGTTCCTGGTCCAGGAGCTTGCGTGGTCCATGAGCTTGGCTGGACCAGGATCTTGCCTGGTCCAGGAGCTTGCCTTGTCCAGCAGCTTGCCCGGTCATGAAGCCTACCTGGTCCAAGAGCTTGCCTGGTCCAAGAGCGTGCCTTGTCCAAGAGCTTGCGTGGTCCAGGAGCTTGCGTGGTCTAGGAGCTAACCTGGTCCAGGAGCGTGCCTGGTCTAGGAGCTTGCCTGGTCAAGGAGCTTGCCTGGTCCACGAGCTTGCCCGGTCCACGAGCTTGCCTGGTCCAGGAGCTTGCCTGGTCCAGGAGCTTGCCTGGTCTAGGATCTTGCCTGGTCCAGGACCGTGCCTGGTCCACGAGCTTGCATGGTCCGGGAGCTTGGCTGGTCCAGGAGCTTGCCTGGTCCAAGAGCTTGCCTGGTCCAAGAGCTTTTGTCGTTTAGGAGCATGCCCTGTCCAGGAGCTTGGCTGGTCCACGAGCATGGCTGGTCCACGAGCTTGGCTGGTCTAGGAGCTTGCTTGGTCCAGGACCTTGCCTGGTCTAGGAGCTTGCCTGGTCCAGGAGCGTGCCTGGTCGAGGAGCTTGCCTGATCCAGGAGCTTGCCTGGTCCAGGAGCTTGCCTCGTCCAAGATCTTGCCTGGTCTAGGAGCTTGCCAGGTCAAGGAGCGTTCGTGGTCCATGAGCTTGCCTGGTCTAGGAGCTTGCGTGGTCCAGGAGCTTGCCTCGTCCAAGATCTTGCCTGGTCCAGGAGCGTACCTGGTCCACGAGTTTGCCTGGACCAGGAGCTTGCCTGGTCCAAGAGCTTGCCCGGTCTAGGAGCTTGCCGGGTCCAGGAGCGTGCCTGGTCCAGGAGCTTGCCTAGTCCAGGAGCTTGCCTGGTCCAAGAGCTTGCCTGGTCCAGGAGCTTTGCCTGGTCCAGGAGCTTGCCTGTTCCAGGAGCGTGCCTGGTCCAGGAGCCTGCCCTGTCCTAGAGCTTTCTTGGTCTGTTAGCTTGCAATGGACCAGGCAAGCTCCAGGATCAGGCAAGCTCCAAGACCAGGCAAGCTCCTGGACCAGGCAAGCTCCTAGACGAGGCAAGCTTATGGACTAGGCACTCTCCTGGACCAGACACATTCCAGGACCACGCACGCTCCTAGACGAGGCCAGGCAAGCTCCTTGACGAGGCAAGCTCTTGGACTAGGCAAGCTTGTGGACTAGGCAAGCTCTTGGACCAGGCAAGCTCTTGGACCAGGCAAGCTCCTTGACCAGGCACGCTCCTAGACGAGGCAAGCTCATGGACTAGGCACGCTCCTAGACAAGACACATTCCAAGACCAGGCACGCTCCAGGACCAGGCCAGCTCCTAGACCAGGCAAGCTCCTTGATGAGGCAAGCTCCTGGACCAGGCAAGCTTGTGGACCCGGCATGCACCTGAACCTGACAAGCTCTTGCACCTGGCAAGGTCTTGGACCAGTGAACCTCCAGGACAAGGCAAGCTCTTGGACCAGGCAAGCTCCTGGACCAGGCAAGCTCCTCGACCAAGGACGCTCCTGGACAAGACAAGCTCTAGGAAGAGGCTAGCTCGTGGACCAGGCAAGCACCTGGACCAGGCACGCTCCTGGACCAGGCAAGCTCCTGGACCAGGCACGCTCCTGGACCAGGCACGCTCCTGGACCAGGCAAGCTCCTGGACCACGTCCATGTCCACGTCCACATCCACGTCCACGTCCACGTCCATTTCTACGTCCACGTCCACGTCCACTTCCACGTCCACGTCCATGTCCACGTCCACGTCCACGTCCACGTCCACGTCCACGTCCACGTCCTCGTCCTCGTCCACGTCCACGTCCACGTCCACGTCCACGTCCAGGTCCACGTCCACGTCCACGTCCACGTCCACGTCCACGTCAACGTCCACGTCCACGTCCACGTCCATGTCCTCCACGTCCACGTCCAGGTCCATGTCCAGGTCCACGTCCACGTCCACCTCCACGTGCACGTCCATGTCCAGGTCCACGTCCACGTCCACCTCCACGTCCACCTCCACGTGCACGTCCACGTCCAGGTCCATGTCCATGTCCACGTCCACGTACACGTCAACGTCCAGGTCCAGGTCCAGGTCCACGTCCACGTCCACGTCCACGTCCACGTCCATTTCTACGTCCACGTCCACGTCCACGTCCACGTCCATGTCCTTCACGTCCACGTCCATGTCCTCGTCCACGTCAACGTCCAGGTCTAGGTCCACGTCCACGTCCACATCCACGACCACGTCCACGACCACGTCCACGTCCACGTTCACGTCCACGTCCACGTCCACGTCCACGTCCACGTCCTCGTCCTCGTCCACATCCACGTCCAGGTCCACGTCCACGTCCACGTCCACGTCCACGTCCACTTCTACGTCCACGTCCACGTCCACGTCCATGTCCTCCACATCCACGTCCACGTCCTCGTCCACGTCAACGTCCAGGTCCAGGTCCACGTCCACGTCCACGTCCACGACCACGTCCACGACCACGTCCACGTCCTCCACGTCCACGTCCACGTCCACGTCCACGTCCACGTCCACGTCCTCCACGTCCACGTCGTCCTCCACGTCTCCGTCCACGTCCACCTCCACGTCCATTTCCACGTCCACGTCCACGTCCATTTCCACGTCCACGTCCACGTCCACGTCCACGTCCACGTCCACGTCAACGTCCACATCCACGTCCACGTCCACGTCCACGTCCACGTCCCCGTCCACGTCCCCGTCCACGTCCACGTCCAAGTCCGCGTCCACGTCCACGTCCGCGTCCGCGTCCACGTCCGCGTCCACGTCCACGTCCGCGTCCGCGGCCACGTCCGCGTCCACGTCCACGTCCGCGTCCGCGTCCACGTCCGCGTCCGCGGCCACGTCCACGTCCACGTCCACGTCCACGTCCACGTCCAGGTCGTCCACGTCCACGTCCACGTCCACGTCTGTCCTCCACGACCACGTCCACGTCCCCATCCATGTCCACGTCCACGTCCACGTCCACGTCCAGGTCCACGTCCACGTCCACGTCCACGTACACGTCCACGTCCACGTCCACGTCCTCGTCCTCCACGTCCACGTCCACGTCCTCCACGTCCACGTCCTCCACGTCCACATCCATGTCCACGACCACGTCCACGTCCATGTCTACGTCCACGTCCACGACCACGTCCACGTCCTCGTCCACGTCCACGTTCACGTCCACGTCCACGTCCACGTCCACGTCCATGTCCACGTGCATGTGCACGCCGACGTCCACGTCCACGTCCATTTCTACGTCCACGTCCACGTCCATGTCCACGTCCACGTCTACGTCCACGTCCATGTGCAAGTCCACGTCCACGTCCACGTCCACGTCGACGTCGACGTCGACGTGCACGTCCACGTCCACGTCCAAGTCGAAGTCCACGTCCACGTCCACGTCCACGTCTACGTCCATGTCCGTCCATGTCCACGTCCACGTCCACGTCCACGTCCACGTCCACGTTCATGTCCACGTCCACGTCCATGTCCACGTCCACGTCCACGTCCACGTCCATGTCCTACACGTCCACGTCCACGTCCTCGTCCTCGTCCACGTCCACGTCCACGTCCATGTCCTACATGTCCACGTCCACGTCCATTTCTACGTCCACGTCCACGTCCACGTCCACGTCCACGTCCTCGTCCACGTCCACGTATACGTCCATGTCCACGTCCACGTCCACGTCCACGTCCACGTCCATGTCCTCCACGTCCACGTCCACGTCCACGTCCACGTCCACGTCCACGTCAACGTCCACGTCCACGTCCACCTCCACGTTCACGTCCACGTCCACGTCCACGTCTACGTCCATTTCTACGTCCACGTCAACGTCAACGTCCACGTCCACGTCCACGTCCATGTCCTCCACGTCCATGTCCACGTTAACGTCCAGGTCCACGTCCACGTCCACGTCCACGTCCACGTCCACGTCCACGTCCACGTCCACGTCCACGTCCACGTCCTCGTCCACGTCCACGTCCACGTCCACGTCCACGTCCACGTCCTTGTCCTCGTCCACGTCCACGTCCACGTCCACGTCCATGTCCTCCTCGTCCACGTCCACGTCCACGTCCTCGTCCTCGTCCACGTCCACGTCCACGTCCATGTCCACGTCCATGTCCTCCACGTCCACGTCCACGTCCACGTCCACGTCCACGTCAACGTCCAGGTCCACGTCCACGTCCACGTCCACGTCCACGTCCACGTCCATTTTTACGTCCACGTTTACGTCCACGTCCACGTCCACGTCCACGTCCATGTCCACGTCCACGTCCATGTCCACGTCCATGTCCACGTCCAGGTCCGCGTCCACGTCCACGTCCACGTCCATTTCTACGTCCACGTCCACGTCCACGTCCACTTCCACGTCCACGTCCACGTCCATGTCCACGTCCACGTCCATGTCTACGTCCACGTCCATGTCCACGTCCAGGTCCAGGTCCACCTCCACGTCCACGTCCATGTCCACGTCCACCTCCACGTCCACGTCCACGTCCACCTCCATGTCCACGTCCACGTCCACTTCCACGTCCACGTCCACGTCCACTTCCACCTCCACGTCCACGTCCACGTCCACAACCACGTCCACGTCCACGTCCATTTCTACGTCCACGTCCATTTCTACGTCCACGTCTATTTCTACGTCCACGTCCACGTCCACGTCCACGTCCACGTCCATTTCGACGTCCACGTCCACGTCCATTTCCACGTCCACGTCCACGTCCACGTCCACGTCCACGTCCACGTTCACGTCCACGTCCACGTCCATTTCTACGTCCACGTCCACGTCCACTTCCACGTCCACGTCCATGTCCACGTCCACGTCCACGTCCATTTCTATGTCCACGTCCACGTCCACTTCCACGTCCACGTCCATGTCAACGTCCACGTCCACGTCCACGTCCACGTCCATGTCTACGTCCAGGTCCACATCCAGGTCCAGGTCCACGTCCACGTCCACTTCGACGTCCACGTCCACGTCCACGTCCACGTCCACGTCCACGTCCATGTCCACGTCCACCTCCACGTCCACGTCCATTTCTACGTCCACGTCCACGTCCACGTCCAAGTCCACGTCTATGTCCACGTCCACGTCCACGTCCACGTTCACGTCCATTTCTACGTCCACGTCCACGTCCATTTCCACGTCCACGTCCACGTCCATGTCCACGTCCACGTCCATGTCCACGTCCACGTCCATGTCCACGTCCACGTCCATGTCCATGTCCACGTCCACGTCCATGTCCACGTCCACGTCCACGTCCACGTCCACGTCCACGTCCATGTCTACGTCCAGGTCCACGTCCAGGTCCAGGTCCACGTCCACGTCCACTTCGACGTCCACGTCCACGTCCACGTCCACGTCCACGTCCACGTCCACGTCCACGTCTACGTCCACGTCCATTTCTACGTCCACGTCCACGTCCACGTCCATTTCCACGTCCACGTCCACGTCCACGTCCACGTCCACGTCCACGTCCATTTCCACGTCCACGTCCACGTCCACTTCCACGTCCACGTCCATGTCCACGTCCACGTCCACGTCCACGTCCACGTCCATTTCTACGTCCACGTCCACGTCCACTTCCACGTCCACGTCCATGTCCACGTCCACGCCCACGTCCACGTCCACGTCCACGTCCATGTCTACGTCGAGGTCCACGTCCAGGTCCAGGTCCACGTCCACGTCCACTTCGACGTCCACGTCCACGTCCACGTCCACGTCCATGTCCACGTCCACGTCCACGTCCACGTCCACGTCCACGTCCATTTCTACGTCCACGTCCACGTCCACGTCCTACGTCCATGTCCACGTCCACGTCCACGTCCATGTCCATGTCCACGTCCATGTCCATGTCCACGTCCACGTCCACGTCCACGTCCACATCCACGTCCATTTCTACGTCCACGTCCACGTCCACGTCCACGTCCACGTCCATTTCGACGTCCACGTCCACGTCCACGTCCACGTCCAGGTCCATGTCCACGTCCACGTCCATGTCCATGTCCACGTCCATGTCCATGTCCACGTCCACGTCCACGTCCATGTCCATGTCCACGTCCACGTCCATGTCTACGTCCAGGTCCACGTCCAGGTCCAGGTCCACGTCCACATCCACTTCGACGTCCACGTCCACGTCCACGTCCACGTCCATGTCCACGTCCACGTCCACGTCCACGTCCATTTCTACGTCCACGTCCACTTCCACGTCCATTTCCACGTCCACGTCCACGTCCACGTCCACGTCCACGTCTACGTCCACGTCCACGTCCATTTCTACGTCCACGTCCACGTCCACTTCCACGTCCACGTCCACGTCCACGTCCACGTCCACGTCCATTTCTACGTCCACGTCCACGTCCACTTCCACGTCCACGTCCATGTCCACGTCCACGTCCACGTCCACGTCCACGTCCACGTCCATTTCTACGTCCAGGTCCACGTCCAGGTCCAGGTCCACGTCCACGTCCACTTCGACGTCCACGTCCACGTCCACGTCCACGTCCACGTCCATGTCCACGTCCACGTCCACGTCCACGTCCATTTCTACGTCCACGTCCACGTCCACGTCCACGTCCATGTCCACGTCCACGTCCATGTCCATGTCCATGTCCACGTCCATGTTCATGTCCACGTCCACGTCCACGTCCATGTCCACGTCCACGTCCACGTCCATTTCTACGTCCACGTCCACGTCCACGTCCACGTCCACGTCCATTTCGACGTCCACGTCCACGTCCATGTCCAGGTCCACGTCCACGTCCACGTCCATGTCCACGTCCACCTCCACGTCCACGTCCACGTCTACCTCCACGTCCACGTCCACGTCCACTTCCACGTCCACGTCCACGTCCACTTCCACCTCCACGTCCACGTCCACGTCCACAACCACGTCCACGTCCACGTCCATTTCTACGTCCACGTCCATTTCTACGTCCACGTCCAGTTCTACGTCCACGTCCACGTCCACGTCCACGTCCACGTCCATTTCGACGTCCACGTCCACGTCCATTTCCACGTCCACGTCCACGTCCACGTCCACGTCCACGTCCATTTCTACGTCCACGTTCACGTCCACTTCCACGTCTACGTCCACGTCCATTTCTACGTCCACGTCCATTTCTACTTCCACGTCCACGTCCACGTCCACGTCCACGTCCACGTCCGTCCATTTCGACATCCACGTCCACGTCCACGTCCATTTCCACGTCCACGTCCATTTCAACGTCCACGTCCACGTCCACGTCCACGTCCACGTCCACGTCCACGTCCATTTCTACGTCCACGTCCACGTCCACTTCCACGTCCACGTCCATGTCCACGTCCACGTCCACGTCCACGTCCATTTCTACGTCCTTGCCACGTCCACTTCCACGTCCACGTCCATGTCCACGTCCACGTCCGTGTCCACGTCCACGTCCATGTCTACGTCCAGGTCCACGTCGAGGTCCAGGTCCACGTCCACGTCCACTTCGACGTCCACGTCCACGTCCACGTCCACGTCCATGTCCATGTCCACGTCCACGTCCACGTCCATTTCTACGTCCACGTCCACGTCCACGTCCATGTCCACGTCCACGTCCACGTCCATGTCCATGTCCACGTCCATGTCCATGTCCACGTCCACGTCCACGTCCATGTCCACGTCCACGTCCACGTCCATTTCTACGTCCACGTCCATTTCGACGTCCACGTCCACGTCCACGTCCATTTCCACGTCCACGTCCACGTCCACGTCCACGTCCACGTCCACGTCCACTTCCACGTCCATTTCTATGTCCACGTCCACGTCCACTTCCACGTCCACGTCCATGTCCACGTCCACGTCCACGTCCACGTCCACGTCCTATTTCTACGTCCACGTCCACGTCCACTTCCACGTCCACGTCCATGTCCACGTCCACGTCCACGTCCACGTCCATGTCTACATCCAGGTCCACGTCCAGGTCCAGGTCCACGTCCACGTCCACTTCGACGTCCACGTCCACGTCCACGTCCACGTCCACGTCCATGCCCACGTCCACGTCCACGTCCACGTCCATGTCCACGTCCATGTCCACGTCCACGTCCACGTCCATGTCCATGTGTACGTCCACGTCCACGTCCATGTCTACGTCCACGTCCGCGTCCACGTCCACGTCCATGTCCACGTCCATGTCCTCGTCCATGTCCACGTCCAGGTCCACGTCCAGGTCCACATCCACGTCCACGTCCACTTCCACGTCCACGTCCACGTCCACGTCCACGTCCAGGTCCACGTCTAGGTCCACGTCCAGGTCCACGTCCACGTCCAAGTCGACGTCCACGTCCACGACCACGTCCACGTCCACGTCCACGTCCTTTACGTCCTCGTCCACGTCCTCCACGTCCTCGTCCACGTCCTCCACGTCCACGTCGTCCACGTCCACGTCCAAGACCACGTCCACGTCCATGTCCACGACCACGACCACGTCCATGTCCACGTCCACGTCCATGACCACGTCCACGTCCATGTCCACGTCCACGACCATGACCACGTCCACGACCACGACCACGTTCACGTCCACGTCCACGTCCACGTCCACAACCACGTCCACGTGCACGTGCACGTCCACGTCCATGTCCACGTCCACGTCCATGTCCATGTCCACGTCCATGTCCTATGTCCACGTCCATGTCCACGTCCACGTCCACGTCCACGTCCACGTCCACGTCCATGTCTACGTCCAGGTCCACGTCCAGGTCCAGGTCCACGTCCACGTCCACTTCGACGTCCACGTCCACGTCCACGTCCACGTCCACGTCCATGTCCACGTCTACGTCCACGTCCATTTCTACGTCCACATCCACGTCCACGTCCATTTCCACGTCCACGTCCACGTCCACGTCCACGTCCATTTCCACGTCCACGTCCACGTCCACTTCCACGTCCACGTCCATGTCCACGTCCACGTCCACGTCCACGTCCACGTCCATTTCTACGTCCACGTCCACGTCCACTTCCACGTCCACGTCCATGTCCACGTCCACGCCCACGTCCACGTCCACGTCCACGTCCACGTCCATGTCTACGTCGAGGTCCACGTCCAGGTCCAGGTCCACGTCCACGTCCACTTCGACGTCCACGTCCACGTCCACGTCCACGTCCATGTCCACGTCCACGTCCACGTCCACGTCCACGTCCACGTCCATTTCTACGTCCACGTCCACGTCCACGTCGACGTCCATGTCCACGTCCACGTCCACGTCCATGTCCATGTCCACGTCCATGTCCATGTCCACGTCCACGTCCACGTCCACGTCCACGTCCACGTCCATTTCTACGTCCACGTCCACGTCGACGTCCACGTCTACGTCCATTTCGACGTCCACGTCCAAGTCCACGTCCACGTCCAGGTCCATGTCCACGTCCACGTCCATGTCCATGTCCACGTCCATGTCCATGTCCACGTCCACGTCCACGTCCATGTCCATGTCCACGTCCACGTCCATGTCTACGTCCAGGTCCACGTCCAGGTCCAGGTCCACGTCCACATCCACTTCGACGTCCACATCCACGTCCACGTCCACGTCCACGTCCATGTCCACGTCCACGTCCACGTCCACGTCCATTTCTACGTCCACGTCCACGTCCACGTCCATTTCCACGTCCACGTCCACGTCCACGTCCACGTCCACGTCTACGTCCACGTCCACGTCCATTTCTACGTCCACGTCCACGTCCACTTCCACGTCCACGTCCACGTCCACGTCCACGTCCATTTCTACGTCCACGTCCACGTCCACTTCCACGTCCACGTCCATGTCCACGTCCACGTCCACGTCCACGTCCACGTCCATGTCTACGTCCAGGTCCACGTCCAGGTCCAGGTCCACGTCCACGTCCACTTCGACGTCCACGTCCACGGCCACGTCCACGTCCATGTCCACGTCCACGTCCACGTCCACGTCCATTTCTACGTCCACGTCCACGTCCACGTCCACGTCCATGTCCACGTCCACGTCCATGTCCATGTCCATGTCCACGTCCATGTTCATGTCCACGTCCACGTCCACGTCCATGTCCACATCCACGTCCACGTCCATTTCTACGTCCACGTCCACGTCCACGTCCACGTCCACGTCCATTTCGACGTCCACGTCCACGTCCACGTCCACGTCCAGGTCCACGTCCACGTCCACGTCCATGTCCACGTCCACCTCCACGTCCACGTCCACGTCTACCTCCACGTCCACGTCCACGTCCACTTCCACGTCCACGTCCACGTCCACTTTCACCTCCACGTCCACGTCCACGTCCACAACCACGTCCACGTCCACGTCCATTTCTACGTCCACGTCCATTTCTACGTCCACGTCCAGTTCTACGTCCACGTCCACGTCCACGTCCACGTCCACGTCCACGTCCATTTCGACGTCCACGTCCACGTCCACGTCCATTTCCACGTCCACGTCCACGTCCACGTCCACGTCCACGTCCATTTCTACGTCCACGTCCACGTCCACTTCCACGTCTACGTCCACGTCCATTTCTACGTCCACGTCCATTTCTACTTCCACGTCCACGTCCACGTCCACGTCCACGTCCACGTCCATTTCGACATCCACGTCCACGTCCACGTCCATTTCCACGTCCACGTCCATTTCAACGTCCACGTCCACGTCCACGTCCACGTCCACGTCCACGTCCATTTCTACGTCCACGTCCACGTCCACTTCCACGTCCACGTCCATGTCCACGTCCACGTCCACGTCCACGTCCACGTCCATTTCTACGTCCACGTCCACGTCCACTTCCACGTCCACGTCCATGTCCACGTCCACGTCCACGTCCACGTCCACGTCCATGTCTACGTCCAGGTCCACGTCGAGGTCCAGGTCCACGTCCACGTCCACTTCGACGTCCACGTCCACGTCCACGTCCATGTCCATGTCCACGTCCACGTCCACGTCCACGTCCATTTCTACGTCCACGTCCACGTCCACGTCCATGTCCACGTCCACGTCCATGTCCATGTCCACGTCCATGTCCATGTCCACGTCCACGTCCACGTCCATGTCCACGTCCACGTCCACGTCCATTTCTACGTCCACGTCCATTTCGACGTCCACGTCCACGTCCACGTCCATTTCCACGTCCACGTCCACGTCCACGTCCACGTCCACTTCCACGTCCATTTCTATGTCCACGTCCACGTCCACTTCCACATCCACGTCCATGTCCACGTCCACGTCCACGTCCACGTCCATTTCTACGTCCACGTCCACGTCCACTTCCACGTCCACGTCCATGTCCACGTCCACGTCCACGTCCACGTCCATGTCTACATCCAGGTCCACGTCCAGGTCCAGGTCCACGTCCACGTCCACTTCGACGTCCACGTCCACGTCCACGTCCACGTCCACGTCCATGTCCACGTCCACGTCCACGTCCACGTCCACGTCCATTTCTACGTCCACGTCCACGTCCACGTCCACGTCCATGTCCATGTCCACGTCCATGTCCACGTCCACGTCCACGTCCATGTCCATGTGTACGTCCACGTCCACGTCCATGTCTACGTCTACGTCCGCGTCCACGTCCACGTCCATGTCCACGTCCATGTCCTCGTCCATGTCCACGTCCAGGTCCACGTTCAGGTCCACATCCACGTCCACGTCCACTTCCACGTCCACGTCCACGTCCACGTCCAGGTCCACGTCTAGGTCCACGTCCAGGTCCACGTCCACGTCCAAGTCCACGTCCACGTCCACGACCACATCCACGTCCACGTCCACGTCCTCCACGTCCTCGTCCACGTCCTCCACGTCCTCGTCCACGTCCTCCACGTCCACGTCGTCCACGTCCACGTCCAAGACCACGTCCACGTCCATGTCCACGACCACGACCACGTCCATGTCCACGTCCACGTCCATGACCACGTCCACGTCCATGTCCACGTCCACGACCATGACCACGTCCACGACCACGACCACGTTCACGTCCACGTCCACGTCCACGTCCACAACCACGTCCACGTGCACGTCCAGGTCCACGTGCACGTGCACGTCCATTTGTACGTCCACGTCCATTTCTACGTCCACGTCCACGTCCACGTCCACGTCCACGTCCACATCCATGTC